TGGGTCTTTTGGTGTTCTATATGAATTTTAGGATTGTTTTTTAATTTATATAAAAATGCCATTGGAATTTTGATATGAATAGCATTGAATATGTAGATTGCTTTGGGTAGTATGGACATTTTAACAATATTCAGTTTTCCACTCTATGAATGCAAGATATCTTTCCATTTATTTATGTTTTCTTTAATTTCTTTCATCAGCATATTGTAGTTTTCAGTGTACAAATTTTTAACCTGATTGGTTAAATTTATTTCTAAATATTTTATTGTTTTCGATGCTATTGTAAATGAGATTGTTTTCCTAATTTCCTTTTTGGGTAGTTCATTGGAAATTCATCATATTTTTGTACATTGATTTTGTATAATGCAACTTTCCTGGAGTCATTTATTAATTCTAACAGGTGTGTGTGTGTGTGTGTGTGTGTGTGTGTGTGTGTGTGTGTGTGCGTGTGTGTGTGTAACCTTCATAAGATCATGTCATCTGCAAACACAGGCAATTTTACTTCTTCTTTTCCAATTTGGATGCTTTTTACTTCATTTTCTTGCCTAATTGCTCTGGCTAGGACTTCCAGTAGTATGTTGAATAGAAGAGGTGAGAGTGGGCACTCTTGTCTTGTTCTTGATATTAAAGGAAACGTTTTCAGTTTTTCACCATTAGTATGATGTTAGCTATGGGCTTGTCATATATGACCTTTGTTATGTTGAGGTACATTCTTTCTGTATCTAATTTGTTGAGAGTTTTTATCATGAAGGATGTGGAATTTTGTTACATGATTTTTATGCATCTATTGAGATGATCACATGATTTTTATCCTTTATTCTGTTAATGTGGTGTATCATATTTATTGATTTGTGTATGTTGAACCATCTTGGCATCCCAGGAATAAATTCCATTTGATCATCGTGTATGATCCTTTTAATGTGTTATTGAATTCTGTTTGCTAGAATTTTTGTTACAGATTTTTGCTTCTAGAATTTTTTTTTTACAGATTTTTGCAGTTACATTCACCAGAGATATGAACCTGAAATTTTCTTTTCTTGCAGTGTCTTTTTCTAGTTTTGTTATCAGCACAATGCAGGCCTTGTAAAATGAGTTTCGAAGTGTCGCCTCCTCTTCAAAGTTTTGGAAGAGTTTGAGAAGGGTTGGTGTTAATTCTTCTTTAAATGTTTGATAGAATTTACCAGTGAAGCCATCTGGTCCTGGGCTTTTCTTTGTTGGGAGGTTTTGATTACTGATTCAATTTCTTTCTTTGTTATTGGTCTGTTCATATTTTCTATTTCTTCTACCATCTGATCCAGGAATTTCACTCCTGAGTAAATATCCAAAAGAATTGAAATCAGGATCTCAAAGAGATATCTGCACTGCCATGTTTATTACAGCATGATTCACAATAGTCAAGATGTGGAAACAACCCAAATTTCCAATAACAGACAAATAGATAAAGAAAATGTGGTACATGCATACGATAGAATGTTATTCAGCCTTAAAAGAGAAGGAAATTCCACCATTTGTGACATCATGGATGGACCTGGAAAACATTATGTATTTTTTTAAGCATTTAAAAAGCAGAAGTGAATATTATCTATACCTCTACATTTTTATCAAAATTCTTCTTTCATTTTAAATGTCCTTTTATCTAAGTAATAATAGCTTTGACTAAAGCAACAGCTAAAGTTCTAATCCATGCATTTCTGGCCTTTCAAATTTAATTGGGTGACAAATGATTCATTATCTAGTTCTAATCGCTTAAAAAGCATGTGATAGATCAGTTGCACAACCAGAGATATCTTCTTACTCTGACATTGCTTCATTTGGTTCAATCATCACTTTTCTTTACAGCATCTGTCTTATCCAGATAATTCTTAGATATTTCTGGAATATAAAATTCAGGGCCAAAACTTCTCGTGCTGCCTGGGCAGCTGTGGGGCCTCAAAGCCTGAACCTGAAGGGGGCAGAGAAGTTTGCAGGTTCAGGTGCTGGGCCTGAGGAAGTTGGAGGTCAGGAATGGGTCAGGCTGCACTGGGGGATGGGGCAAGGGTGACCCGCAGTTGCTGGGGCACCTCTTACCTGCTGTGGCCCTCTCACGCCAACCACCCGATCATACAAAGGGCAGACACTGAAGGCCAGCCCAGCTTAGGGCTTGCACAGGGTTTGAGGTGAGGAACCGGAGATACCACATTGCCATGGAAAACATCATGCCTGGAAATAAGTCAGTCACAGAAGAACAAATACTGCATGATTCCACTTATATGCAGTATCTGGAATAGCCAAATTAATAGATGCAGAGAATAGAATGGTGGTACCTGGGGAACAGAGGAGGGGAAAATGGGGAACTTTTCCAATGGTTAAAAAGTTTCAGTTATACACAAAATGAATGAGTTCTAGAGATCTGCTGTACAACACAGTGCATGTGGTTAGCAATAGGGTGTTGTGCACTTAAAAGCTTGTTAAGAAGGCGGATCTCATGCTGTGTGCTCTTACCACCACAAAAAAAAAAGCAAGGGGACACAAGAAATCTTTTGATGGTGATGGATATGTTTATAACCTTGTTTGTGGTGATGGTATCACAGGTGTACGCATATGTCTAAACTCATTAAAATGTATACCTTATATATATGCAACTTTTTGTATTTTCAGTTTGTCTCAATAATGTTGAAAACAAAAAACAAACAAAAAAGATGGACACAAAACAAAACTGAGAATATCAAGCATTGATAAAGATATGGAGCAACTGGAATTTTCATTCACTACTAGTGGGTTGTAAACTGGTAAACCAAAAAACTATTTGGCAGTTTCTACTAATACTAAATATAAGCATATCCTATGGCATAGTAATACTACTCCTAGGTATATACAGTAGTCCCTCCTTATCCACGGTTACGCTTTCTGCAGTTTCAGTTATCTGTGATCAATTGCAGTCTGAAAATACAGAAAAATAAGATATTTTGAGAGAGAGAGAGACAGACCACAGTCACATAGCTTTTATTACAGTATATTGTTATAACTGTTCTATTTGATTCTTATTTTTGTTAATCTCTTACAGTGCCTAATTTATAAATTAAACCTCATCATAGGTAGGTGTGTATAAAAACAGACTATATATAGGGTTCAGTACTATCTGTGGTTTCAGGTATCCACTGGGGTCTTGGAATGTATCTCCCACGATAAGGTACTACTGTACCAAAATCAAATGTGTACCTACATGTATCAACAGACAGGTACAAGAATATTCATAGCAGCATCATTTGTAGTCACCCAAACTCTAAATAACCTAATGTCAAGAAATATTAGATTAGATAAAGAAATTTGGAGATTATACACAAAAATGAAAATGAATAAACTGCTACTACATTCTTCAATATGGATCAACCTTACAAGTATATTATTGAGCGAAAAGAGCCACACAAGTGTACATACTATGTGTGTCCACTTATCAGCATTCAAAAGCAGGCAAAACTAATATTGGTGGTAAAACTAAGAATAGTAGCTATTTGTGTGTAGGAGTGCAATGACTAGGTCCAAGCATGAGGAGAGATTCTATATGGCTGGTAAAGATGTAAAATCTTTGTCTAGGAGATGGTTACACAAGTTCACTACTTTGTTACCAAGATATACACTCATGATTGTTGCACTTCTTTTGTCCGTGTCATCCTTTTAAAAATTTTCACACCCGGCAACTCAGAAAATTTTAAAAGCTGTTATTTTATCGATTTTATCACCCTGCGAGGGTGCAGGGAAAGGGTTGCTTATATATTAGGGGTAGGAATGTAAGTGGTAATAGCTACTTGGAGAAGTAAATAGAGGGAATCTACCACTAAGATTTAAAATGTGCATCCTCTATCCAGCACATTGACTTGTTGGTATCCCTACCCTAAAGAACACTTGAACATAGGTACAAACAGGTACATACACTTCTGTTGAAGGTGGCATTGCTTCTATTAAAAAAACAAAAAAGAAACAAACTACATGTCCGAGGGTAGGGGACTCATAAATTATGTCTATTGCTCTGGGGACTACCATGCAGTATTTTAAAAGAATGAGGTAGTTTACATACAGACATAGAAAGATCTCAAGGATAAAATGTTGATTGGAAAAAAATAACATCTACACATATGTAAATGCATAAGAAATAGGAGTCATCATATAGGGACTCGGTTTGTAATTAGTGCCCGAAAAGGATTTTAGCCTAATTTATAATCTTTAAATTTATGGTTATGTGTAATTTAAAATTAATGATAGCACTTAGACTGTCTTCAGAAGAATATCCAAGGAGTCAGCAACACTGGTTGCCTCCAACAGGCGAACTGAGTGCCTGAGGAACTGGAAGCAGAATTTTCACTGTGTAACCCTGTATACCTTTAAATATTTGAACGATAGCATCCATTGGTAAAAAGTTTAATTAAAATTTAAAGGTAACTTGAATTAAAACAATAATTAAAAAATGCCCAATCTCGTGGGAAAACATATACAAATAAAATTAAATGTGACTATTAAGATCGAGGTGTTAGTTATGCAATAGGAGCACCGAGAAAGGATCTGCTAAATAGGTTTTGGGGACTCGAGATTTTAAAGTGGAAGTGACGCTTGAACAGAGAAACGGAAGGTCCTACTTTTTCATTCCTGGAGAGCTCAGTACGACGTGCGCAGGATCCCTGAAATCCAGTTCCATGATTATTTTCCACGAGCTGAAGCCTAAATCTCCACCAAGAGACTGGAGGAAGGCGGAAGCAGCAGAATTGCGAAGGGGGAAGCGGCCGCCTAACATAACGGTGCGGCAGCCGACTCGGAACAGTCCCACCTGCTCCGTTCTCTCAAACCCTGAGTGGCCGATTTCCACCCTCTCCTCCCGCCCTCTCCCGCCTTCCCGCCTCGCTTACTGGGCAGTAGATGATTGACAGACCCAGAAACCAATCGCTGCCTCTACGACGGGGGGGGCACTCAGGGCCCAGCCTGGTCTTTGGTCCCTCGGGCGAGATGCGGACTCTGTGCGTCGACGTCAGCGTGCTGACGTCACGGGTCGGGTTCTCGAGGAGGTCCGAGGGCGACTGGCTCCGGGTGGTGGGCTGCGCGTCGCCTGCTGGGCTTGGTCTCGGGGCCCAGGTTCCGCTCCGCCGAGCCCCGCCCCTCCGCCCGCGAGGGCCCTCGCGGGCGTGACCACGGAGCCGCTGTCCCTGGGGCGGCCGGCCCGGAACCGCCCGATGAGGTAGGCTGGGGCTCTTGTCACCCTATTTGACAGATTGGAAAACTGAGTCACCCGGGGTCAGATGCCTTACCTGGGGCTCATAGGAGACCGCGAACGGAGGCCGGAACCCGAGTGTCTGCTGTTTGCGGAGCCCTGCACCGTCCTCCGGGGAGGAGGAGGGGCTAGGCGGGCTGTGTTTATCAAGGATACAAAAGTGAAGTTGCAGAACGCCGAGCCCCGCTTCATCCAGGGCTTGGGCTGGGATTCAGGGGATGGATGCAGGTAGTGAGGTCTCGGTTCCTTCACCCCGCGAACTCCGAGGAGTCCTCGGTGGGGTCCAGCCGCGAGCTGGCGCTATGAGCCCTCCAGAGTGACCAGGAATGGTGCATGGGGTGATGCGCGAGTTATACAAACAGGGTCGGCTCCTGGCCTCTTATTCGTCAAGAAAAGCTGTGTTCAAAACAAAACAGAATTAAAAAAGCACAAGTCATGAGAGTTCTGGCTGTGGTTTCAGTTCACTGATTTGCCAGATGGGAATCTGGCCATATTTTGAAATCTCGGCATGCTTGCTTTTGGTTCGGAATTAGAAAGGGATTTTTTTTTTTTCTTTTAGTTCAAACATGGGTTAACATTGTGGACCTTTTCTTACCATTTCCTTAATGTGCCAATTTCACCGTGTCCTTTGTCTTCTGTTTCACAGATGGAATCACTGAATTCATCACTTGACTCAGTAATAATTTGGATAAGTTTAGCAAGGTAACAAAGTAAGAGGTCTAACCTCTCAAATATACTGGAAATAGTTCAGTTTATCTCAGAACTCTTTGTTGAGAATGGTTCTGGAAGATAATTCCCATCTATATACCATATACCCCTACACCCTCTCTTTCTAGAAGCAGGATCTCACAAACAAACCAACTTATGGTACCATTGCTTTATTTATGGATTATATTAAGGTGGGGCATAATTCATGCTCATAAAGTGGAAATATGTACCATACAATATATGCACATGTATATAATACTTTGTGTTGTCATGAAGAATTCATTCTGTTTAAATCTTGCTGTCTCAAACATTGGCCTTTTGAGACTGCATTATTGCATAAAACTGCATTCAAGAAATGAAATTAAAGCCACTTCGGGGGACTTTTCCTTCCTTATGTTAACAGAAGGATGGCAATTATTATCATTGGAATTTATTCTTTGGACAAGTTTATCTGATGAGTGCCTCATCCCTGCTATACTTTGTTGTAGGTGTTGGGGATTGAGTGCTGAAAAATTTAGATAAGCTTCCTGCTGTCAAAGACTGCATTTTGGTGGAGATACAATAAACATGTAAACAAAAATGACAATTTTGGATAATGATAAATGCTAGCAAAAATATTACAGGGTAAGGGGCTAGAGCGTGACTGGGATGTAGGGGGAAATTTAGATAATGGTCAGTTGAGGAAGTGACAGTTCGGGTGAGACGTTTGGGATGAGTCAGCCATGGGATCTGCTGGAAGTTTCCAGGCAGACATAACAGTGCAAAGGAGCTAAAGGAAAAATGAGCTTGGCGTGTTCCAGGGATAGAAGAGAAGCTGTGTGGCTGGAGTGGAGTGAACCTATGGGAGAATGAAGTGGGGGGAACAGACGTAGGAGATGACACTCGAGAGGTGGGCAGGAGGAGGATTATCTGAACCCCGCCTGTGTAAGAATTGCAGATAGGTGAAGGAAATAGGATTTGTATATTGCCAAAGCCCTCTTTGTTTTCTTTAGTGACACTCATGGACTCTAACCTGCTCTCTGCTTTATTTTTGTCATGAAATCATTGCAGTAATTCATTGTATTTTTTTTCACCAGTGGTTCTCTTTCTAATGAAAAAATGTCTTCTTCCCTCCAGCACTGTGTCCCGTGCTGTTTCTTTCCTGTTCGTTGTTATTATGTGCAGGACTCGAAGCCTCTGCTTATCTTCAGCTTCCTACTTTTATCCTTCCTTTTCCCAGCACTGAGTCCTCTCCAGTATTATCCTTATGTGCTCCCCCTTGGGAAAGGACTGCTGTCGGTCTTGCTCTTCTCCAGGCTGAGTTCTAGGAAACTGCGTTGTCAAGTAGATTACCATTTTTCATTAGAGCTTTTATTACTGACTAGAGACTTAATGTCTGCCTTTATTTAATGCCTACAGTGTGCCAGGTGCATTACATGCATTCGGAGCCTTCCAACATAATGCAAACGTAAATATTATCCCTTCCAGATCAAAAAGGAAACTTAAGGCCACCCAGTTAGTACTGAGGGGGCCTAGATTTGAACACTCCAGTTAGCCTGCCCCAAAGCCTGATCCATGCTGCTCTACCTCACTGCTGCCCTGAGTGTATATGTAACAGCAGCTGCAAGTCTCTGTTGTTTGAAATTATATTTTATGAAATGGCATTTTAGAGATCATGATTCAATCTTCTTAGTTTAAAGGTGGGGCTGTGGAGGCCCGTAGATGTTCAGTGATTTTTAAGACATAACTGGCACCAAATTCTCACCCTGCTGGTTCTCAGCCTAGTGTTTTTCCTGCTGTACTCACTTCATGCAAGTTCCTTCACAAGGGGTTTCTGTATATATAAAAATATAATATTTCAACATCATGAATTCACTGTCCATAAAGTCATACAAGGTAATTTTAAAAAGGTGAAATAGTGCTGCTTCTTGGGCTAAAATAATCTTTTGCTTTATTTCCTTCCCTTTTCTCAGCAATGAGCAGGTATAAACTTTCTGGATGAATCTTTGGTTGCTGTTAGTAGAAAAGTGGTATCAAAATGACTATAATATTTAGGTTTTAATTTCACAAATCTTTGAAAGGGAGTTTAAAATTTGTTACTGTTTTCCGAGCTTTAACCCTGTGCTTACAAATGTGAGAATATTGCCTAGATTTGTTGGCTCATAGTTTGTGTTAGCAAGTGGCGTTTCTTCCTAAAATTGAGGAAGTCCCTGGGTCTGTTCAGGGATATAACTTCTCTTTCTTAGTAATATATTATCATTTTAAAAAATAAGTAAAAACCACTTCATAAATTATATGGTTGAAAAATGGGTTACTATGTTCTTACAATTTAAATACTCGTTATTTATTTCTAAGGTTTGCTTATTTTATTAATTGTGATTGGGATATGGTAGATGAGTAATAGTAAACTAACAAATAGCTTAATTTACTATCTGGTGGCTTTTTGACTCACCTATAACTTTAAAGAGATTGTTTTTTTTCATTAGTCAAATTAGAATAATAATGGAATTAGCACCTTCTTTCTTAAATGTTGGAAGATATTTAATAATTTAGGCAAAGGAGAGCTTTTGCTCTTTAAGCCATCTACTGGATATTTTGACTGAGTATCTCTGTCCTTTAAGATTGTTTATGCAACTGATATGCATGTTCTCAAGATCCAGACTGTTGTGATTTGGCCTCAAATTATAGTGCCGTCCTTCTGCCATGAACCCAGTGCCCCAAACTGGATTCCTGGCCTTGCCAGTTTCAGAGCCTCTGCTTGTGCTCTGCCTACAGCCTAGAGTGCGTACTAGATGGACAAATCCGGCCCAAGTTCTACCTGCCCCTCTGCATCCGTCTATGCTGCTTTCTCAACGAGGTAATTCCTGTGTCTCTTTAATGGAAGCCTTCTCTTTGACGGTGCTTTTGGAGTCTTGCTCTCTGCTGCAGTTTACCAATCTATATCTTTGGTAATGCACTGTTTTCTACATGGGTGTTCAGATATGTGTTAGCTTGAGCTTAAAAGAGACAATAATTCATGTTATCCATGCAAAGTTTTTTCTAGATTGTAGAGCCCTTTAGTTTTGTTTATGCTTTTATTACCTCATCTTTGAGAGAAGCACTATTATGCTTTTCTTGGCTTTGATTCAACAGAACCTCCTCCCTGTTTCAGTTAAGGGTCTGACTTCTACAGTTAGCAAGGGGTCTCTTGAGAGGAACTCAAATCTTTGGGTTGTAAATGTTGAAGGCACATTGTGGCACATAAAAACCAGCGTTCTCTGTGTTTATAGTATCAGAAAAAAATAACAGCGACTGCACTTTTTAATATTAAAAATGAGGAAACTGAGGCCCAGAGGGACTAGCCAGGGGCCACTGCAGTGCTGGGCCAGGAAGCCCAGTCAGTGCTCGGGTTCACAGCAGCAGCGGTTTATGCAGGCCGCCACTGGTCCCGATGTCCTGCATCAGACCTCCTGGCAGCCTCTGAAGAATGTGACAGCACAGCTCAGGCCTTTCTGGATTGTTTCGCTTGCTTTGCTTGTGAATTGACCTGAATCTGGAAGATACCTCTTGTTGTGACTCAAGATCAGAGCAGGCCCTCTCACCAAGGATCCCTGACTGAGCGATTTAAATCTGCAGGATTTTCCTGTGCAGGCATTGGGGTGGTATTGTGTTTGGTAGGCTCTTAGGTTAAAACCCTTCTCTTCTACTTCCCCTCTCGTCACAGTTTTTCAAAAAATATCTTGGGACTGGTGGGCATCCTCAGTATATTGAACTTGGAGTTTGGAGGAATTTGGTCTAGTACCTTTTAAGTTGTGGTAATCACAGCTTTCCACGTCCCATATTTTCCAGGACAGTATACTTTTCAAATATTGTACATTATTGCTTGCCAAAGTATGTTCTTGTTTGCTTTTGTTTCGGGAAAATATATTTTCATAACTATCTCTTTGAATTAATCACTTGCTTGCTGAATTAATGATGTGGAACCAGAGAATTTCAAGTACCTTTTCCTATTTATATGCTATGTTAAATTTATCAAAGATAACACAAGGAGCTTTTGAGCTGTTAGAAGTTTCTCCAACTAAGGAGCACCAGCCAGGACTTGCTTTTGTTGTTATTGATAATAACTGACAGTTACAGAGGGCTTCCTCTGTGTCAGGCGCCCTGCTCAATGTTTAATATCAGGGTTTCTCATCTTCAGCCCTGTTGACATTTTGAGCTAGATAATTCTTTATGGTGGGGGCTGTCCTGTGCATTGTTGCATGTTTAGTAGCATCCCCGGGCTCTACTCACTAGATGCCAGT